AGACCCACACTCTGCAGAGACCAGGAAGGGATGTGGGATGCTGTCAGAGCTGGAATGAAGGTAGTTTCTCCTCAGGACCAGCGTACTAAAGGTGACGGGGAAGTACCTGGTCCAGTGCACTTTGGGAATACCCCTTGGAGCTCCCCTGCCCAGGCCAGAGCACTCAGGCAGGTCCCTTCTTTCTGCAGGTTACATGATGCTCCAGGATGTGCTTTGTGCAGGGGACTGGGGAAGCATCTGTACCTCTTCCTTTCCATCCTCCCTTCCCTCCATCCTTCTGTCTCTCTGTCCCTCTTGCCATCCCTCCATCTCTTACACTGCACATCCTCCTGCCCAGCCCTCAGGCTGCCTGCACTTTGCCTGCTTTTTTTCCCTTCCTTTGTGCAGGAGCAGCACCCCACAGCCCTGGGAGAATGGAACTGGCTCTCCTGTTGCCATCTCCATGTGAGCTCCTTTCCAGTGCCTCAGCACTCAGCCCATAACTTGCTGGCTCTGTTTCCCCCTTTCCTCCTGGCATATGCCCTCCTCCAGCCCCTTCTGCCTTGTGATGAGCAACTTCCAAGGCCTGTGTCCTGGACAGTCATGCAGCTTCTCTGAGGTTCTGTGATGTCCAAGGATGACCCACTAGAAATCCATGGCAGGAAAATGCAGCGCTTGAGACCTCTGTGTGTGCCATGCTGCTCCTACTTGTTCTTACAGACTGGCTGTGGACCCACAGATGCGACCAGAAAGCAGCACAGGGTGAGAACAGCCTGCTCTGGACAGGCACAATCCTGGCCATGCTGCAGCTTTGGAGGGGCTGATGGCCTCTGGGACCACCAGGGCCAGCCAGTCTGTGTGTGCGGGTGTGGCAAGGTGAGGCAGCTCTGATGACACAGAGCGGGGCTGAAGGGATGCAGGGGGAAATCTCTGGGAAATCTTAAAATAAGGGGAAGCTTGGACTAGGGGAAGGAGGAGGAAGGGGAGGTCTGCTGGGAGCCCATGCAGCCATCCACTTATCCAGCTTTTGACATCCTGAAGCACAGCTCTTCTCATGGGACCGGAGCGACAGCCACGTGAGTCAGGGCTGGGTGTGGGGTCAGGGTGACCCTGCCTTTTGTGGCAGCATTAGTCACCATGCCAAACTTCCCCAGCCCAGCAGCACTGGAGCCCCCAGCATCACTGCCTTGTGGCTGGCTCATACCCCACAGCCTGCCCGAGTGTGCTTGCTGTGACTCAGGACCAGGCACGGCCACTGGTCTGGCTGGGCCAGTCCTGCCAGCTGCCCGGGGCACTGGGGCAGGGCCAGCACCAGCACTCAGCCACGCTGCCTCAGTCAGGCTGGAAAGGCAGGGCCTGGCTGCCTCTGGCCATCCCTGAAGCATCCCTGCAGTGAGGCAGCAGACCTTGCCTCTTCATCTTCCTCCCAGCAGCTGGCAGAGGGTGCAAGGAAGGGGCTGAAGCCTGCTGTGGACACCATCCCACGGGGCTGGAGCAAGCCCCCGTGCACACTGCCTCCCACACACACAGGGACTGACCGTGCAGGGACACCCCATGGCAGAGCTGGTACAACCACCATGGGGGATCCCAGCCCTTGCATTGCCTTTGGCAAGGACAGCATGTCCCCAGAAGGGCCAGGCTGCTGAGACAGCAGGGAGGCGGCTGGATAGGACTGCCCAAGCACATCTGTGCAGGGCTGCTCCAGGTGCCTCCTATGGAGAGGGATGCACAGCCATAAGGACAGGTGGGAGGTGCTGGTCCCCATGTGCAGTGATCAGGGCATGAAGCCACCTCAGCAATCACTTTTCCTGCAGATCTGCCTTGCAGGGGTATGCATAGGCAGATCCCCTCCCTAGAGATGGAGGATAGCTGTTGCCTTTGTTACAGGGTGAGTAATGAGGCCATGGAGTGGAAGATGCTTGGGTAAGGTGAGATGTTGGCCATCAGAAACAGGATCCAGGAGTGACAGAGCTGCTCTGCCCTTCTTCTGGGATGGGGGATCTAAGGAGTGCCCTAGTGTCAGGCAACTCCCTGACAGGCTCCAGAGCCCACTGCCCTCACAAGCACTGCTTACTGTGTGACAGGCCAGCACAGCCAGTCCCACGATGCTGGGGTTGTGTGCACAGAGCAAGGAACAGACACCAGTGTTGGACAGGGTCCAACAGGAAAAGGAAGGACATAGACCCCTCATGTTCATAGGCAGTGTTTCCAAAGAGCATGTCTGGGGTCCTTGTGCAGCCCATCTCCTGTCCCTCGAGAGCTCACACCCCTCTCTGCACTCTGCTTTAGGTCCCAAAATATTCCCTTGCTTGGGTGCTGGGAGATGCTGCAGCAGATCTGGCCTGGACACCCCCCAGTACCCGTGTGCCCCCCTCCAGAGGCAGCCCCTGCCCGAGTCTCAGAAACGGGGCAGAGCCAGGAGGAGCTGGGCTGGCTCAGCAGAACCCCCACGATGGGCAGGGTTGAGCCAGGCCCTCCTGGGCAAACTGGGGTTGATGTGTCCTCATGGCTGCCCGGGTGACATCTGTCACTGGAAATGGAGTGAGGGCAGAGCAGCACATTTACAGGCAGCTCCCTGGAGGGAGCAGCAGAGCCTGGAGAAGGAGATTCAGAGGCCTCCCGGGAGAGCAAGGCTGGGCAGGCAGGAGCCCTGGCCAGGACCCAGCCCTGCTGCTGGCCAGGCAGCCCCTGTTCAGCCATGAGCAGTGAGCAGCCAGCACAACCACAGGAACAGGGTTTGACACAGCTCTTGGGTGCCACTGTCCAAGCCTGACCACTCAGCTTGGCTCAGCTGGTATCCAGGTTTCTTGGCCTCCCCGTCTTAGAATTTATTAGCATTACTGCAAACTTTCCTAAAGTACTTCTTTTTTGGGGGCAAAAATATTCTAATTTTGGTCTCAGTCCAGAGAGATTTTCCTTTTCAAATTTGATTGAATTAATCTGTCCAGCTGTTTTAACTTGGGAAATTGAAGGGAAACTGCATTCTTCCCATTTGGAAAGAAAATGTAAAAAACAAAAACAAAACAAAAACCAAAGTAATTAACATTACAGGGGTCTGGGATTCTCTCTCTCTCTCTTCTTTTTTTTTTTTTTTTTTAATCCAATTATTATAAACTTCCTCTTTTTCCCTTGGGAAGATCCTGCAAGTTTTGCAATGTAAACTGTCCAGTAGCAGGATCTGGGCTACACACGCACATCCACAACTACACTCCCGAGCTCTCCAGCTCCTTATTGCACCCACACAGCCACCCTTGTGCACTCCTGGCTTTCACCAGCCCCCCCAGAACCGAGTCCTGCTTGACCACTGCCCACAGGAGCATGAGGATGGGAATCATGGACTGTACACACTCACACACACCCACTCCTGTGCCCATTCTGCCATGCACACCCATACACACACCCCACACGTTCACCCCAAGCACAGCCACTTGCACAATCCATTGAACCTCCACGGGCCCCCACGCACAGCCACATTCACAGAGCCACAGAATCATTTTGGTGGGAAAGGACCTCTAGGATCATTGAGTCCAACTGTAAACATCAAACTGCCATGTTCACCAATAAACCCTGTGCTCACTCCCATGTTCCCTGTGCATCTCTCCACCCCATCCCACTCCACTCCCATGTTCCCCGTGCATCTCTCCATCACACCCCATCCCATTCCCACCCCCTTGTTCTCCATGCATCCTTCCATCCCATCCCATCCCATCCCATCCCATCCCATCCCATCCCATCCCATCCCATCCCATCCCATCCCATCCCATCCCATCCCATCCCGTTCCATGTTCCCCGTGCCGTGCCGCAGCGCCCCCTGGCGGTCTCCTTCGGCCCACTCCGCATCCGGGGTTGCCATAGCGAAGGCGGGGATGCTTTGCCCCCAGGCCGGGAGGGATCGAGGTGTTCCACAGGCTGAGTTTGAGGGGTTCAGCAGGTTCCTGGGGGCCTGGAGGGCTGCAGGACTTCTAGGAATCTGGGGGACTCCTGGGGCACTTCTGGGGACATGGGGAGTAACTGCCCTGAGGGACTGTTGGGGTGTGTTAGGAGTCTGGGGTGAGGTCCTATTGGATGGGGAGCTCTTGGGGAGCTGTGGAGGTCTGGAGAATTCGGAGATTTATCTATGGAGAATTGGGAGTCTTCTAGGGGGCTCTGCTGGCTGTTCAGCCCTCTCCAGACCACTGGGCCAGTCCAGACCCTGGCAGCATTTGCCTGTGTCAGGGCTTCTCCTGGCTCTTGAGGGAAAGGAATTGGCTTTGCCAGATCAGGAGCAGTAGGGAGCTCCGGTAAGGAGCTGTCAGCCCCCACAGGAGCTGCCCCTTTTCCCCAGATGGACAGAGAACAAGATGCACAGCCCAACTGGTTTGCACACCCATGAGAAGCTCACAGACACAGTGCAGAGGTAACTCGTGGATGTGCAGAGGCGTTACCCCACAAGCTGCAGAGGCGTTACCCCACAAGCACAGACTGTGTGCTTCCCCTCCACATTTTTGGCTTCTGTGATCTCCATCCTTCAGGAGCTGTGATTTGGGGCAATGGCAGAGAGGACACAGGTCAGATGCCTTACTCAAAAGTACTAAATGTCTTCTCAGGGGTTTATCAGTTTATCCACTGCCACATCTCCAGAGCCATGTCCATGCAGCATGAAAGCAGCCCATTGTGGGGGAGCTGAGACAGAATCCAGAGAAGGAACTCGCTGAAGGCTGGAGCCCGGACTCTGAACATCTCACAGAGAGTTTCAGAATCCCTCTATAGGTGGTGTCAGCTATGGTTCCAGAGGACAGCAGGAGTGACCTAAAGTTTCACAGGGCCTGTCTGAACTGACCTCTCCTGACAGGCAGTCCAGGCCATGAGGTGTGTTCAAGTGCATCCAATTCAGAGGCACCTGCAGAGCCTATGGAACAGCTCTGCACATCTTCCAGCACACAGCTCCTGCAACTCTCCAGCTCCCTTCCTGGAGGACCATTTTGCACCCACACACGTCCTCCCTGTCCCAGACACACCTGAGGAAACATAATATGACACACAAACATACTCTCACACAGGCACATGTGGGACAGTGTCACTGTCACACACACTGGTGATTTGCTGTGTATTCATAGAGATGCAGGAAAATACACAGGCCAACTTATTTACACACCCACGAGGGGCTCACACACACAGTGATGGGTTATACAAGCTCACATGCACACATATGAACAAGCATAAACATGCTACCTGTGCATGCACACACACCAAGCTGCTTGCATGCACAGGTACCTTCACCAGCACCCACCCTACCCTGCTCACACCCACCCATGTGTTCCTGTGGGTGGGCTCTCCCACAGGAGTTCCTGGGAGCCCTGTGTGCTTCCCTTCTCCCAGCACCACTGTGGCCAAGTCAGAAGGGAATTTCCAGCGGCAAAGCTGCAGCTAACAGATTTAGAGACTTCCTCCCTAATGATTGCTGGGCTGAGTTAATGGTTCACCAGCACCGTGCTTCTGCTGCCCTTCCCTGCTGGCTGCCTGGGGTGGGGCAGGCGAGGAAGGCACACTGGGGGGCATCCCCAGCACCCCATGCAGCCTCCCCTGCCTTGCAGTGTGCCCAGCACTGTGAGCTCTGCTTTCACCCTGCCTGGCAGTACCCAGCACATGGGGCATTGCCACTTCAGCCGCCTCAGTTTAAAGCTCTCCTGAAGAGGGGCATACAGGAAAGCCCCCAGTGTGCAGCACTGCTGCGGTGTGGAGGGCAGGCCCAGGAGCGTGGGCCTCTCTGCCGAGGGTCTCACCCTGCTGACAGCCCTCTGGGGGTCCTCAGCCCAGTGAGCATTGCCAGGTGAGCAGGCACTGCACACACACATTCCACCCTGCAGTTACCTAAACCCCTGTGCTGGGTAACCCTGGAGAAACCAGTTCCTGTGGGCTCCTTGCAGCATGGGAGGGACCCCCTCAGAGATTCCTGGAGCCCCTGGAACAGAGGCTTGGCAGCTTGCCTTGCTGGGCAGCCAGGCAGGCTGCTCCTCACCCTGTGTTTGTCCATGAGGGGCACAGGCTGATCAGGTTATAAAGACACACATGCCTGGCCCCCTGCCACCCAGGTGGGGCTGCACGTGGCCCATGGCATGCCAAGTGAATGCCTTGCATGCCACCAAGCCAACAGTGTCAGCGCTGTCCAGGGCTTCTGTGTGCCAGGCTCTGCAGCGGGGACTGCAGTGACATGGCTGGAGTGAAAAGAATACAGAGTCCCTTCGAGCACAACAGCACAGTGTTAGGGCAGCTAACACTGATGTGTTAGATGTACCTCAGGCATGAGGCACGAGTGGAGGCACCACGGACTGCAAACATCCCAGGTCAGATGGTGGCAGGACACAAACGGGCACCCCAAGCAATGACAGCTGAGGGTGATGGGAGGAGAGCACTCACACACTGGAAGCAGCAGTGCAGGGCAGGAGAGCACTCACCCTCATCCACACACATCTCCAGGCTTGACAACCACAGAGAAAAACAGAGGGTAGATAAAAAATGAGCTGGACTCTGCCACAGGTCCTAGCAGGGCTAGGGGCTGGCAGGAGTGTGACTGACTGCGACTCACAGCTGGGGCAAGGCAGCTCTCAGGCTAATTCCACTCCAGTACAGTGGTCAGCGCTTCTCAGCCCTCCCCAGGAAGCTCTGTGGCATATGGCTTTAAATAGCTTTATTATGGAAGCTCTGTGCCACGGGGACCACGGGGGCGCCAGGCAGCCCCGTGCTGCCCTCTGGGGAAGCCAGGACTCTCCAGAGTGCAGAGCTGAGCTCACCCACGCTGACCCTGCCCCCGGATCCACCTGTCTCTGTCCCGGGGGGCCCTGTGAGCCTGGAGGTGGCCTCACAAATTGTCCTCACCTGACCCCAGGCTGTCAGATGCAGAGGCTGAGCTCCTGGCGGACGGAGCACTTGCGGCACTGCACCACGCAGCACCAGTGGAAGCGGCAGAGGCAGTTCTCCTCCAGCACCACCGTCTCGTCCCGGTGCCCTCTCCCGCAGCACAGCAGGTCGCAGCCGCTCGTGTCCATGGCCGTGCTGTTGCAGACGCGGCCCCTGGTGCCCAGCGAGCCCGTCTTACGGTTAGCCGAGCAGAAATCAGGCGAGTCGGCCGAGTAGATGAGGTCCTGTTTATCGGGAGGCTTGATGTTGTCGCCCACAGGGATGAGGGTTTTGCCGTCGTTGCCTCCCATCACCTTGAAGGCCCCGTTGAAGCGCTCGAGGAGGCGATCGCCCACCTCGCGGAAATGGGGCATCTTCCTCCAGCAGGTCCGCAGCGTGCAGGAGCCCGAGAGCCCGTGGCATTTGCACTCTGTCCTCATGTAGCTGCGCACCGCCTGAGGGAGAGACAGCCATGCTCAGCCCTCGGGGCCCTGCCCAGCACCCCCAGCCAAAACCCTGCCCCGTGGTGCTGCCCTGGCCTGGGAGAGGGGTGGGGATGGAGAGAGGCTTTCCAAAGCACCTGCAAAGGATTCCCAAAAGATAATGGGTAATATTTCAGCCAAAGCTGGTGCAGGTACACGGCTTGGGGACACTGGAGGTGGAGGGCTGGGCAGGGGCACAAGGGCTGTGGGGGACAGGGAGTGCAGGGGCCTTACCAAGCGCCCGGCTTCGTTGTTGTGCAGGTCGATAAGAGCTCGGATGTCATTTTTGCCTTTCTTGTTCTTGGCATCCATGAACTGCTGGGATTTCTCGTAGCCAAACTGCACATCATCCCCGCAGCCGCCCCACTCCCAGGCGGTGCCCTCTGTGCCCGGCCCCGCCGTGGGCGAGGGGGGTGCCCGGCTCCGCGTCAGCTCGCAGCCACACTGCAGCAGCTCGCCCATGCTGCAGGCCTGCGTGATGGCGTGGCTCACTCCCGCCGCCGTGATGGCGTACACGAAGGCTGTCTCACGGATATCTGCAGGAGAACAGACAGGGCTGGGATGTGGGGTCAGCTCCAGCAAACAAAGCACCACCCTTGGCTGACATCCCAGGGGCTTCCCCGTTCTCCCTCTTCACATGTGCTCAGTGTTGTTCCCTGGGCGATGCGCCCACCCTGGAACGGGCTGCCTGGAGCAGGAGATGCCTCCTGCAAGCAGATTTGAAGGTTCTGAGGGATGGTCAGGCCCTGCCAGTGTTCCTGCACTCAGCTGTGGAGAGGCAACAAATCTCCCACCTCCTCTTGCAAGTCTGGGTGCTGCCCCATAGCAAAGAGGGAAGCTCAGAGAGCAGAGGGTGGTCCCAGATGACCAGGTGCTACCCACAGCTTCCTCACACTACCCTACAATTTCCCTCCAAGCAGTAAAAATCCCAACCCAGCTCCAAACTGGCACCTGGAAGGGCACACTGTGAGGGATACCGAGGGTGCCACTCACCCTCTGCAGGGCGGCAGTGATGGAGCTGTGCTGCCTGCTCTCCCCCCACCACCCTCTTTGCCATGGGGAGCTGCCCGCCCCCCTCTCTGCACCGGCACAGCCTCCACCCTGCAGGATTATTTATTATTAGTATTTGCTCCTGTCTCTCTCTGCTCCGGGACACAAATTCCAAGCATCTTTCCCCTGCCCGGACCTGCCGCTCGCAGCCGCAGCCAGCGGGGGATTCTGGCGGCAGGGGTGCGGCGCCCTGCTCGGGGGGCTCCGCGCCCCCTGCGCCGTGCCAGCCCCGCTCCTGCCCGCCCGGATGCCAGGGCAGGGCTGGCCCAGGGGCTGGCCTGCAGGGGATTCCTGGGCAGGGAGGGGAAGGGGGGTTTTGGGGGTGTCCCATCCCTCCATCTTCTGACGCGGGGAGGCTGCAGGAAGAGGGATAGCAGGGCACCAGTTCCATGAGCGGCTCCTCCAAAAGCCCACGCAGCACCTGCATCCCTCTGGTGTGAGCAGGAGCTGGGCAGAGCGGTGCCTTTCTGGCATTGCTACCAAGGGGGTACCACCCCCTCCCCGGGCCCTCCCGACCACCTGCCTGCTCCCACCTGGGGCTGACAGAACCCTCAGCAGGCAGCCCGAAGCTGGCAGAGGTCCCCATGCCACCCTGCCAGCCGGGCCCTGGGGGGATGCTGCTCCTCTGACAGTTCCTCCAGACACGTGGCTGCCCCCAAGCCAGCCTGCCCTGGCATACCACACCTGGCACAGGTGGCAGCAAGGGAAGAGGGGACAGTCATGACTGTGCCACAGAGGCCATGGCCAGGAATGAGAGGTTTGCAGCATCCTTGGATAGAAAAGAATATTGGATGAAAGGTGTTTATCTGATGGAGCTGGGAACCCCAACAATGCTGAGATACTTGGTGCACTTCCTGCAGGCTTACAGGGAGGCTGGTGCCTGCTGGCACCTCTGAGGGCTTCTGATACCCATCTTGTTGCTCTGGGGAACTCCACACCTCCAGATTCCTCAGAGTGCCAGGGACTCAAACTCACCACTGTCCCTATGACATTGCTTATCTCCAGCACCCCAGCATGGAGGCTGGACCAACCACCACCATCGTGGTGGCTCCTTCAGCATCCCCATGCCTGATGTGCCTGTGCCTCCTCCAACACGAGCTGTTCCTGGGTACCCAGCAGCTCATCTGCCAGTGCCTTGCACTCCCCACCTGGTCTGGCCCTGCATTCTGGCACCACCCCACTCCCAGAGCAGATCCCTGCCTGGCACAGGTCCCACCTGCCTCACTGCCAGTTTATGGTGACAATAGGTGACTCCAGAGGCAGGAGAGTCCCCCTGTGCCCTGACTCTCTGCCTCTTGGCTGAATACACCTCCCTGTGTTGGGGGGAACACACATCTGCAAATCAGCTTTTTAAATGAGCCTATCCCCCACCCATGGGCCACTGTCTACCTTGAGGCTTCAGCTCTGACCCCCACCAGTACCTGCAGTCAGTTGGGTGCCCAGGGCACCCCGCCCTCTCCAATCCCCCCAGGGATGCCACCTTCACCCCCCTGCATGGCCCATGGACATATCCACCTTGCCTTGGGCTGGCCAAGCACCAACAGATGTGATGGCTGAGGAGACTGGGGCTTGCTCCAGCATCTTCATCTGCCATAGCACAGGGACCAAAATGGGAAGAGGGGCAGGGCTAAACTCACTTCCCATTAAGTGATCCTACCAGCCCAAGGTGTTTCAAGCAACCCCTCTTGCTTGGAGCACCATCCACTCCCAGCTACTCTCCCTGAGGAGCATAGCAGGGCTTTCCCATCCCTCACACACTCATGGATGCCCTCCTGCTCTGCCCCTGCTATGATTTTGGGGGAGCTGGGCCTGGCTTGGATTGCTGTACCCACTGCCTGAGACCTGCACAAGCCTTCCTGCCACCCAGCCCTGTTCCTCAGGGTGACACCAGGGTGCCCATCCAGGGACAGGGACAGGGACAGGAGACAAGCACTCCTCTGCTCCCTGCAAGGCCAGGAGGAGGAATATGAAGGGCACCCACGTGTGAGGGGCAGCTCCCAAGGGCTGCACACTGCCTCCCAGCCGGGCCCCTTCCCACAGCACACCCTGGGGTCCTGGGGGAGCAGTAAATCACTGCCAGACGAGGGTGCATTCTTGGGCTTCATGAAGCCCCGCGCTGTCTGGGAGCATTGGTAATTGCTTCATTACAACACTGGGAGACATGTCCCAGCAGTAAAACCTCGGCGTGACTGCACTGGGGAGCACTGAGCAACCCCCTGCACACACACACACACACACACACACACACACACACACACACAGCTTTGCACGCCAAGACTGCTCCAGGAGCCCCGGGGAGGTGCTCCCCCAGGCTGGGGTCTCTCTGGGAAATGGGAAGCCGAGGAAGCGCTGGCCTTACCCTGCTGCAGGATCTTGCCGAAGTACTTGCTGTGGCTGGTGCAGTTCCAGCGGCGGAAGCGGAATTGGTACTGGCACTCCCGGACGCCCAGCTTGGTGCCCTTGGCCACCTCCTGCACGATCTCTGGCTCCAGCTGGCACAGCTCTGCCTGCTTCCCCGCCAGCCGCTTCGTCTTGCGGCAGATGCTGTTGGGGTCCATGACCAGGGGGCTCCCCACTGCCCTGCAGGAGGGGACAGCGAGCAGAGCAAAACCAGCACCCAAGCCCAGCAGAGACCAGGGTGTGAGTGGTTCATGAGCAGCCCTACCCCCAGGGATGGAGCAAGGCTGCAGGGCAGTGCCAGCTCCACGCTGAGCCCGGGCGACAAGGGGACAGAGACATATGCAGTGGGGCTAGGACAATAGGGATGGGTGGCTCACCCAGGCAATAACTTGTCCTGTCCATCCATTGGGGAATTGGGTGGATCTCCTACTGTGGGACAGTGGTATGCTGGCACATACCACTCTACACTCTACATCCTTGGGGACATCCATGGGGGTGTCCCCAAGGGAGATGGCAAAAATATTGTGCTACTCAGCACCTGTTCTTTGGGGCTGGCACTGAGCTGACCCAGCCCTGACATTGCCATGTGACTGATGCCTGATGCAGCTGCGTCTCCCAGAGCTGCGGACACAACAAGGAGCCCAGCCAGCAATCTTGGTGTGTCTCCCCCTCTCCACGGGTTCTCGCTGCTTCACCCCGTGGGAGACTAGAAGAGTGACCTTGCTTCTGATAAAGGCCCTCGGCTGCTGGCCAGGATCCTGTAGTCACCTCCCAAATCCAGGCCCTGACTCCAGGGAACGGAGCCGCAGGCGGCTGCGGGAGTGCAAGGGAGGGATGCAGGTGGCATTGCCAGCTTTGCCAATGCCAGCGAGGGAGGGCAAGTCTTGGCTGGGCCCACGTCAGAGGCAGCTCCTCCTTGCCAGCACAGCTGGCGTGAGGTGCCTGACTCCCTGGCCCTGAAGGCAAAGTCTGAGCGCGGTGCTGTGCTCCCCGGTGTGCCATGGGCTACAGAAACTCCTGTACTTTCCCCACATATTTTGCCTGGAGTGCCCTCCGTGGTGCAGCTGCGCAGCCTCCAGCGCCCTGCCTCGTGCTGGCACGGGCCAAGCCCCAGCTCTGCCACAGGCAGCTCCGGAGCCATGGGCCACACCAATTCAGCACAGCCTAAACTCAGCCCACCCCCGCCTCCAGCGCTGCTCCTGTGGGCTCATCATCCTGCTCAACAACATGATTTTCAACGCCATGGATGCCCACAGAAGCTCAGGGCTGCACCCAGCAGACCCCAGGATCAGGATATGCCTGATGATTGGGAGGTTACATTCCCTGGGATTCCCTGGGGAGCAGTGCTTGGGCGGCCCGTGCTGCCTTCAGCCCCACTCACTGGAGAGCATCAGCTGCACAGCTTCCAAACCCAGAGCTTTATAGTCTGGCCAAGCCCCAGGGGCTCAAAAATCACAAGCTGAATCTTAGTGTTTAACTGTGTTCTGGGTTTCCTTTTCACTCTCGTGCAGCTGGGGGGCTGTGTTTGGGACACCAGGCTGCAGTTCTCTGCTTGCAATCCTGTCCCCAGTGCAAACCCCCTCCCAGACCCTTGTTTGAAGCTCAAAGCCCTGCCAGGATCCCCCTGATTCATGTCAGCTCCCCAGCTGCCTGCATCTCCTGCCTACCAGACCCCAGCTGGCTTGGAGAGGATGTGCCCTCTCACACAGCCTGGAAAAGGAGCCCTTATGCTTTGGCTGGAGGTTTAAAGGTTGAACAGCTCAACAAACAGCCTGGAAAGGGAACTTCCAGCATGGAAACTGAGGCAAGCCCACAGTCCTTCCAGGGAGAACTCATCTCCCTTTGCTCCCAGCAGCTCAGTTTCCCTTTGCTGCATGACTCACATGGACCTCTGCAAAGAGATGGGGCAGCTGGGGAAGCATCGCAGAGCTTGCCTGGCACAGGTCCTCCATAGATGGGGAAACTGAGGCCCCCCTGGAAGGTGACCAGAAAATCTGTCCAGACCCATCCCATGACGACCACAGAGGGATCCAAGCCTCCATGTTGGTTCCCAGGCTTGCTGTCCTTTGTGGCCGCAGCAGGATGGCGGAGGTTTGGCTGCCCCCTCCGGTGGAGTGGGGGAGCCGGGATGGGACTTTCATTAAGAGACGACTCTTTGTACTCATATAAAAACGATGCTCCAGCCCCCGGGGCCGCCAGATCAAATGCTGAACTGTGGCTCACCCCGGCCCGCTGGATCAGGCCAGGAAGGAGAGCTGAGCCCCGCGGGTCTGGGGGCGATGGGCGCCTCACCGGGGGTCCCCACCCATGGTCCAGGCGGCGGCGAGGCTGGCGGGAGAGCAGCAGCTCTGTCCCTGCCGGCCAGGCTGGGGTGGGCTGCTAAGTCCAGAGCGATATTAATTTCCGCTGGGCTCCACTTTCTGGCACGGCGAGGCTGCCGGGAGCCCGAGAGCTGTTTTGCTTTGGAGGGTTTAGAGGGGGGGAGAATGGGGGGAGACAAGGGCAAGAAAAATGCTGCCAAACTGCTACCACTTTGGCAAGGGCTCCGGCGCAGGGCCCAGATCTGCCTGAGCTTGTCCCGCTCCAAGGCCTCCCGCATCTACAATTAAGGTGCCCCACCTCTGCTGCCGGGCACTCCTCCCCCTGCCCTGGTGAAGGAGCAGGGTCGCCAGCCCGGCTCCCCACACCTCGCCTGGGGCACCCCGGCCCCTGCCTGGAGCCCCCAGCCAGGCTCAGCCCACAGAGCATCCCTGCCACCTGCCCCTGTGCCCTCTGCTGCCTGCCAGAGCTGCTGCTGGGGGCTCTGGCTGGCCCAAAAGCCAGTGGGATGGTGAGCCCCACTACCCAACCTCCCCGCAGCCCTGTGTAAGGGAAACAGCCCCCATTGCTGAAAGGGGAGACTGAGGCACAGACAAAGGGCTGCAAACCACTGCCCACCTGCTGCTGTCAGCCCTTAGCTGCCACAGCCACAGCCTGAGCCCAGTCCCAGTGACACACATCAAACAGGAGTCACCGGGGCTTCTGATGCAACCCCTGTGCTCTGCATGCTGTGCCTGCTGCAACAGAGACAGGGGTTCCCAGAGATACAATCACCATTTTTCACAGCTCAGCTCATGGTCGTGGGGCTTCCAGCATGCCCTAGTCTTGTTCCCAGCCAAAATCATGGACCAAGGAGCCTGGGCCGGGTCACCATCTTCTCCTGGGGCATGGGGATGATGTGGAGTAGGACTTCTGCTCCCTGCCAGCAGAGCATTGTGGAGGGGAGCCAGCAGGGTCCTGGTTTGCAGGAAGCCAAGGCAGTGAGGCTGGTAGTACTATGCAGTGAGGAGAAGATAGTCAGCTTTCAAAAGTCACACTACAGGAGAGCAGTGGTTGGGCCATGCCAGCTCCATGTGGGATCTGACAGGCCTGCACCCATTGGGTACTGCTGCCTGGGCACTCCTGTGGGGCAGGGGGACCTGCTCTAGGGCAGAAAGGCTACATCTTGCCTTGCATACAGGTCTCTATCCCAGCCTCTGGAAGCCCTCAGCAGGGTGATGTAGGTACTGGGGTACCCAGGTCAGCACTCTGAGCCCACAGGTAATTTTGCACCCACCTGGAGAGGTAAGAACTGCAGGGTGACAGCTCTGGACACCTGACCTCCATCCCTGGGGACATGGGTCACCTCCCACCCCACACAATGATGTCACACTGTGTGACAAGTCACACCCAAAGCGAGCCTGTCCCTTTCCAAGCAAACAGGGCAAGGGGGACCCACAGATGGATTTTCACCCACCCAGCTTTCCCTCAGCCCATGCAGGCATGTGGTGGGCACCCAGCCCCTCACCCAGGGCATGTTTGGGTGCTGCCAGTACCGGGGCACTGGGTGTGGAGCCAGAGCAGGAGCCCACGGGGGTGTGGTGAGTGAGCAGCCAGTCATTGCCCCGGAGGGCACAGCCAGGGCTTGGCTGCTGAGCAGCACCCGGGGCACTGAGGCAGCAGGAAATGCCATGGGTTGGGAAGAGAAGGGGGACCCCCATTCCCCGCCCTCCTCCTTACATCTCCTTGGCAAGGATGGCTGCAAACAGCTGGGGAGCTGCCTAAAGGATCGAGGCTTTGGCATGGCATTGCACCAAGCCATGGACCTGCTGGCTGCAGGGTCATGCTGAGGCCAGGCTGTCGTGAGCAGGAACTGCCCAAACTTGTGCTGCAGGTACTGGGGGGATGGAGGGAGCATCCATCTGCAGAGGTGGTGGTCTTAAGGCCATGTCCAAACCCTGGAAGGGCTGGGATAAGAGGAAAGAAGTCCGCTCATTCATGGTCACTGCCTCCTTCTTCTGGGTGCTGACAGGGGCTAGAGCTGGGGTAGCATGAGGGCTTGGCTAGTTCATGCCCAGATATGGGTGCCACATGTTGTGGGGGGGACCCTGCAAAGCCTCAGCAGATGTCAGGGTGTGCCCAGTACCCTCCTGCAGGGGTTTGAAATACTTAAGGTTCTGATGCAAAGGCCAGACCAATCCTCCAGCTGTGGGCATGTGTAGGGCATGGCCAGGGAGCCTGGGTGTCACCATGGGAGATGGATGTGACCAGGAGCAGGGATGGCACTGGGGAAAGTTCAGCCGCCTTGTGGGAGAAAACAAGTTGCCCAATGCTGGAGCCAGTAGTCATCTCAAAGGGTGCAAGAGAAACATTGTCCCATTGAAAAGCCCAGCAGGTCAGCAGCTGCCCCAGCAAGGGCACAGGGAGATGGCATCAGGCAGGGGCTCTCCCCGTGGCAGATTCATTCCTGCCCATATGGTGCTGCCCCAGGGCAGAAGGCATGCCGGGGAAGGCTGGGCAGCCGTGGGGTGGCAGCTGTGGGTCAGCAGGGCCAGGGGTGACTCACAAGGCTCAGCCCAAGGCAGGGCCCTCCAGCCCAGCAGCCTGCCCTCACAGGCTCTAGCCCTGCACTGGGGAAGCTGGGCAGGGAAAGAGGAGAGAACACTGCTGGGTGGTCACACAGGTGTGTGGCTTGAGGCACATGGGACTGGGACCCCTCAAGCAAGGGTACAGCCACAGGGGCTGGTGGGAGAGGTCCTCTCTGAGCACCTGTGAAGAAAAGCCAGAGGTGCACTGCCCTCATGCATGGATGGGCAGGGGATGGAGGGCAGGTGTCCATCCCTCTGGGCCCCCTCAGACCCACAGCTGGAGCGGAGCACATTTCAGCTGGGATGATTTTCTCCCTTGCTTTCTCTCCCATCTCCCAGCTGCTCTCAGCCATGCCCATGGAGAGCCAAGAGGCACCAGGGGAGCTGGTTTTGCTTGCCCCCATCCCCAGAGTGCCTCTGCGCTCCTGCAAACCGGCTTGGCTGAAATCCTGCCCTGAACCCGCCTGGGGCTCCTCAGACACTCAGTTTGCCTGCTCTGTAACTCTGCAGCCTCTGGGCCAGCCCAGGAGCCCCAGGCAGTCCCTACCTGTCCTGCTCAGGGAGAAATCACTGTTGCACAAGGAGCTGAGCAAGAAATGTGTAAAGAATAGGGGAGGAGGAAGAAAGAGGATTTACAGAGCCTCTGGGAGCAAGGAGAGCCTACTCCCTGCAGCTTGGCACTAATCAAGGTGCCAGCTGCACATGAGGGACATATCTTGCATTGGCACTGACCACAGCCTGCTCCCTTTTGCCATGGGAAGGTGTGTGTCTTCAGTGAGCTCCCTGGGGACATCCTAACAAAATGGGGATGCCCTTTCTCAGGCTACAGTGTCACTATCAGGGTGTCAGGGCTTGTACACCACACCTAAATCTTCTTCCATAGATGCAGCCATGTGCCAGGATCCCAATGGGCACAGTTACCACCTGTGAGTGGCCAGGCCCTGCTGCTTGCCTGGGCTGGGACTGTACATCCTGAGATCCAGCCCAGCCCTCTCACAAATTAAGACATCAGTGGGGGAAAATGCTGGTTTAAACAGGCAACCCCTGTATCCCCCCAGCACACACATAATGTACTCAGGGGTGGGATGGGGAAGTTGTAAAGACATTTCTTTCTTGGCCAGGGGGAAATGGCTGAGCACCTTGGCTAAGCACCCACAAGTGCCCAGTGATGCACACACAAATGAGTGCCACCAAAGTCCCCATGCATGAGTGACAGTGACAGCAAGGAACAGCTCTATCAATGCCACCAGTCCTGGGGCTTCCAGGAGCTCTGGCACAACACACAGCTGCTCCCCTGAACCCCTCCCCACCAACAGCAAAACCCACTGACACCAGTGCTACCCAGACCGGGGAGAGGGGACCAGAACAGGAGCAGGCACACGGGAGATGCCTGTCATGAGTGCCCAGACTCCTCTGCCCCACACAGGAAGGGCTGCCTGAGATCATCTCAGCCAGGGGCCAAAATACCAAACTCAGAGAGAAGCAGCTCGTGAATCACCCAGCTGCTCCTCTGCCCGGTCCCAGGAAGCCTGGCACATCCGTTTGGCAGTGCTGGTGGCCTCACCCATCCACCACCTCTTCCCAGCTCGCTGGCTCCAGAGTGAAGCAGAGTGAGCTGGTGGTCCCCCTGAAGCCACTCCACTGCCCAGTGCATTTGCTGTGCATCAGGCAGCTGAGTTATTATTCTTAAAATAAAGGTTCCTTTTCTTCTTCTTCTTTTTTTAAAAGAAGAAAAAGCAAGTTTGACCCCTTGGCCTCCTCTGCCAAATCCTGCTAATCTCCTGCAGTCACTGCTCCTGTGCACACATGGCACCAGCAGGACCCAGACTCCACGGGGAGATGCAGTTCTGAGCACCTGGAGCGAGGGGCACCAGTACCCCTTACCCTGCCCTGGCTGGTGCTGTCTGCCTGCCCCTGAAATGACAGCAAAATTAGCTTCTGCTTCACCTTTACCTGCTCCAGTCAGGGGCAGATGTCCTCAAAACTGGAGCACAGCACCATGAACTTGGAGATATTGGTGAGGATGGGGCAGAGAAAGCATGGAGAGCTGAAGGGACAGCTCTCTGTGTGTCTGAGAATTGGCCAGGAAGAAACAGCAGCAGGATGGCACATGCCCTGCAATGGCACAGCTACCCTGAGCTGGGTGGCATGGAGCATGGAGACCCTCCACAAGCACCCTGCCTTGGCCAGGCTTGCCCTACCTCACTCTCCCCTCTTCTAGCACAAAAACCCTAGGCAAGTCACTCTCAGCCCCACGCTAAACCCTTGCCTGGCAATAAACTCAACGCTTGGGCTCCAGGGGCAAACTCTCAGCTGATGTACAAGTGACTGTAACAGCACCATTTACACTCACAAAGATCCCCAGTGCAGCCCTGGAGACAGGGCTAGCAGAGGGAATGGAGATGTGGAATAAATCACTGGTGGGCAGGCAGGGCACTGTGAGGGGAAAGGCTTATGGAGAGCTTTATTTTAGGGGTCAAAAGAGTGTGACAATGTGGAGACGAATAGCCTCAGATAATGAATGATAGCCCGGACGGCACGCTGGGGAGCTGGAATCTAAGCACTTAAAACCGGATAAAGACAGGCTGGGTGAAATTCTTAATAGATTTAAATAGTTCATGTTTCGACAGATACCTGGGCTTTCCAAGGCTGGGTCCCAGTTCTGTGCCTGTAATGAATCCCCCACCCCCTCTGGTATCCTGCAAGGCACCGTCTCTGCCTTTGATGAGGGCACCATTACAAATAGGGGTTTTGTCCCTGCTGTGTCCGGGCCACCGTTCAGGGGGGACACTGTAGGGACCCTAAGGCTTTTAATTAAATTTGACTTATTGAAGGGGTCTGGAAGCCGCTAAGCCCCCTTGCCCACCCCTCAGGCATGCAAGCTTCCCAGGCAGTGGGCTGGGGGTGCGGGGAGGCAAAGTGCAGCTCTCACCACAGGACCTGTGCACCCTGTACTCCTGGGGATCCCCCAGCTGCTGCCTCCAGCACACTCGCGTGCCCAAACGCTGAGAGTATGTGGGTGCCCCGGTCTGGACCAGAGCAGCCAGCGAGCAGCTATTCCAACCCAAGTGGTGCCTGGGTGTAGGGGACTCTTTTGTCCCCAGGCTGGGCGGTACTGCCCCCGGAGATCGAGATACCCTGCGCGCCCTCCTGCTTCCCCCCCGCGGGATGTCCTACTCACCACCAGAGCCCGATGATGTTAGCGGGGCAGAGGAGGATGAAGAAGAGCCCCAGCTGGGTCCGGGAGGAAGGCAGCATCCTGCCAGGACTGAGGAAAGCGTCGAACTCGCTCC